CGGGGAGCGCGACGGGGGGGGCGGCTTGCGCTCAAGTGGGAAGGGGTGGCGGGCGCGGGCCGCGCTGCAGCTTGGGGGGTTAGGGTTTGCGGTTTAGGGTTTAGGGTTTAGGGTTTAGGGTTTGGGGGCTTTGGCGGCGTTCTGCGCAGGTTGAGAAGGCAAAGCTCTGCCTCGATGATCCTTCTCACTGGGTCTCAGGTGCGCCGCTACTCCCTGCTGCTGCTGATGCAGCGGCTGCTGCTGCTGCAGCAGCTGCTGCTGCGGCTGCTGCTGCTGCTGCTGCAGGTTGCAGGGCTGCTGTGGCAGGCGCTGCGGTGGCCGAATGTGCTGCTGCTGCTGCGCTGGCGATTACTGCCTCGCAACGCCGTGGCGCTTAACGCCCCCCTTGTTGCTGCTGCTGCTGTTGCTGTTGCTGCTGCTGCTGGCCTCAGGGGTGCAGCTTTTGAACTCGCTAGACATGGAGGCGCTTTGTGAGGGCCCCCCTTGGCAGCAGCCGCAGCTGCAGCAGCAAAGCCTGCAGCTGCTGCTGCTGAAGGCCAAGCTGCTGCACCGCTTGCATGCAGCCAATGAGCCGCAGCAGCACCCAGGGCTAACTAGAGAAGGTGCGCTGCTGCTGCTGCTGCTAGCTAGATGCGGCCCCACGGGCTGCAGCAGCAGCTCCTGCTTTTGCAGCGCTGCAGCGGTTTCGCTTGCTGCCGCGGCTTCTTGTGCTGCTGCTGCTGTTGCTGCTGCTTGAGCTGCTGCTGCTGCTGTGCGGGATGTGAGGTGTACGTACAGAGCTCGCCACAGAAGCAGAGTCTGTCCTAAGGACAGTTTTGCTGCTGCAGCCGCTTTATGCGCCTGCGTGGCTGTGCTGGGGAAAGCTGCATGACACATTATTTTTGTCAGCTTTGAAGCAGCGCCACCAGCAGCAGCAGCAGCAGCAGCTGCTGCTGCAGCAGCAGCAGAAAATGCACAAGCAGCAGGTCCTGCAGCAGCAACAAATGCACCAAGACGTGCCCCCCAATGCCGACGGAAGCGTAAACCCCCCACACGCCAGCAGCAGCAGCAGCAGCAGCAGCGACAGCGCTGCAGCAGAAACCTCTGTAGCAGACTGGGCAGCGCTGCAGCTGCACCTTGCAGCAGCGGTGACCGGCTACGTCATGGATATACAACTCAGGTGCTCTAGGGTTTAGGGTTTAGGGTTTAGGGTTTAGAAACTTAAGGGTTCCCTACTGGTTTAAAAGGCATATAACTCTTCCCTTGGAAGTTCAGGGATCAGAACAGGGGCTGTTCGGTCTTTTGGCCACGCTTTTAGGGCGTAGGGCTTAGGGATTAGGGTTTAGGGTTTAGGGTTTAGGGTTTAAGGTTTGTGCGCAGGCCAGTGAAGAGCTCACTGTATATGTCGCGTGTCTTGTGGCTGCTTTCTTACGACGGCGACACGCGGCCGCCGACACAAACAGCAGCAGCAGCAGCAGCAACAGCAGCAGCAGCAGCAGCAGCAGCAGGAGCTCCGCTAGACCCGGCAGCAGCAGTTGCAGCAGCTGCCGCTGGCGCCCCCGTCGATGGCACAGCAGACCCATCAGCAGCAGCAGCAGCCGCTGCTGCTGCTGCTGCTAGAATGGTGCCGCCTGGGGCCCCAGGCGACAGCACGCACTCCCCTGAAGCAGCAGGTTCTGCTGCGGCTCCTGCAGCAGGGTCTCCAGCAGCAGCAGCAACTGCAGCAAGAGAGTCCTCACTGTGCTTCAGAGTTTTTAGACAACTTATGGGGAAATGCGCGCAGCCGCAGCTGCTGCTGCCGTGGCTGCCGCAGATCTTGACTGGGCTAGACCGACCTGTATGTTGCTGCTGTTGCTGTTTGCTGCTGCTGCCGTTGCTGCTGCTGCTGCTGCCTGCTAGTGGTGCTGCTGCTGCTTCTTGCTGCTGCTGCCTTCTACGCCTGTGATTTGGCTCCTGTTGCTGCGACTTTGCTATTTTTGCGGCTTTTTGCGCTGAGAGTTGAGCAGCAGCTGCTGCTGCTGCAGCACAGGAAGCCGATGTGTTGCTGCAAGCTGTGTTGCTGCTGCTGCTGTTGCTGCTGTTGCTTTCAGGAAGCAGCAGAGCTGGAGCGGCTGCTGTACGCGCTGCTGCTGCAGGCGCCGCAGCAGCTTTACTTTGATATCCGCACGGCTTACTTAGAGAAGCGGGAGCAGTTTGCGCAGCAGCAGCTGCTGCAGACACTTAAGCCCCAGCAGCAGCAGCAGCAGCAGCAGCAGCAATCCCTCACGCTCCTCTCATGGCTAATGACGGTTTTCCGCGCGTCCTTTACCCCCCAGTGCATTGCACTGGATCACCTCGCAGGTTAGGGTTTAGGGTTTAGGGTTTAGGGCTTTGGGTTTAGGGTTTAGAGCCTTGGGTTTAGGGTTTAGGGTTTAGGGTTTTGGGTTTTGGTCGTGGCTTGCGGGGCACGGCAACAGCTCTTCAACCCCAAACCCTAAACCCTAAACCCCAGACAGCCTTTCACTTCCGAATGCGGAGGCCTCGGGGAGTGCAGCAGGAGTGAGGGCTAGGTAGGGTTTGAGGGTTTAGGGTTTGTGGTTTGTGGTTTGTGGTTTGTGGTTTGTGGTTTAGAGGAGTTGGTTGCGCATGCGAAGCCGTCGACAGTGGACGAAATAATCTGCGCTGTACGTACACTGCTGCAGCAGTGCTTGGAAGTGCCACAAGGCAGCAATTTGCTGCCAGCAGTAGCAGCACAGTTCTTGAGAGTTAACATTGTGTCTCGTTTCAAGAATAGGTACGGGACGGACTCTCCAGCTGCTGCTGGCAGCAGCAGCAGCAGCAAGGCCCGCCAGAGCAGCAGCAGCAGCAGCAGCAGCGGGAGGAGCGGGTGCTGCTGCGGGGGCGCGGCGGCGGAGTCGACGCGGCGAACCATGCGGAGCCTGTGGCCGCTGTTCAAGCAGGACTTTGAGTTTGCTGCTGCTGCGGACACAAGCAGCAGCAGCAGCAGCAGCAGCAGCAGCAGCAGCAGCAGCGGGGTGAGCCTGTGCGAGGTGATTGCGAAGCTGAAGAGGTGGAAAGACCTGCTCAGCAGCAAAACGCAATGCGGGGAGCAGCAGCAACCTCCCTTCGAAGATGTTGGAGCTTCTCTTTGTGATGTGTTTACGCGCGTGAGTGTGGAAATAGAAGTGCCGGGGCTGCGTTTGCTGCAGCTGGGGGACGGGTTTCTGCAGCTGCAGCAGCAGCAGCAGCAGCAGCAGCAGCAGCGCGGCGCGGTGTACATACAGCAGTTCGGCTCCGCGTACACCACCGTCACCCGCTCCCACTACACTCTCAAGAGGATTCAAATCGTCGGCAGCAACGGCAGCAGTTATTACTTTTTGGTGCAGCCTTACAGCACAGCTCACCAGCGCACGGAGCAGCGGCTGCTGTGTCTGCTGCTGCAGCTCAACTTGCTGCTGCAGCGCCACAACCCCTCGCGCCGCCGCGGGCTGGCCTTCCCCCTTGCTGCTCAGGTGTCTATACACCCCAGGTGCCGCCTCCTCGAGGACGCCCCCTCTTACGTCTCGCTGCAGCAGATCATCAACGAGCGATCCCGCGCCGATCCCGATCCCAGCAAGTCCGATCCCGACATTCCCGTGCTGCTGCACCGCTCCCTCATCCTGCAGCAGCTCAGCAGCACCATGCTGCAGCAGGCCCTCGCGCTGCTGCAGCAGCACAGAAACACGCCCCACCAAACGCCCCCGCACGCCCACGCAGACGGCCCCCAGCAGCAGCAGCAGCAGCAGCAGCAGCAGCAGCAGCAGCAGCAGCAAGGCGCGCCCCCCGGAACGAACCCCAGCGGCAGCAGCAGCAGCGCCGGACTCCGCCAGCTGCCGCAGCAGCTGCTGCAGCTGCTCTGCTCTCCCGGATTCTGCAAAGACGAAGCGCAGCAGCAAATGCTTAACCGCATTCTCGAGCTGCAGCCTCTCGAGCCTCCTGCTGCTCCTGCTGCTGCTGCTGCGGACAGTTCCGCTGCTGCTGATCCTGCGGCGTCTGCCGCCCGAGCAGACCCCTCTGCTGCCGGTGCAGCAAACAGTGCAGCAGCAGCAGCAGCAGCAGCAGCGGGTCAGATCCCCGGAGCAGCAGCACCTGCGGGAGCAGTTCCCAGCAGCCCGTCTGAGCCCCTCCCCAGCAGCAGCAGCAGCAGCAGCAGCAGCGACGCAGTGGCGGGTTCCTCAGCAGCAGCGGCGGCGCCCCTCCTGCCCACGGCTGCCCGCCCGCCCGCGCAGCCGCAGCAGCAGCAGCAGCAGCAGCAGCAGCAGGAGGCGGAGCAGCGGTGGCTGCTGGAGTTTCAGCGGAGCTGCCAGCTGCAGGCGGCGCAGGAGGTGTACGGACAGCTGTGTGGGGTGGTGCCGGAGAGCGTGCTTCGGGTGTACGTACACCGGAGCGTGTGGGGCGCGGAAGAACTGTTTGTTTTCAAAAGACAATTCACGCAAAGCCACGCAGTTTATTGCATTTTGAATTATTTGTTTTGCATGTCAGACATAAGTCCAAACAAAGTGCTGCTGGACTTGCAAACTGGCCAGGCGCTGCAGGCCGAACTCAAGGCCTGCTACTGTGCTGCTTCCTTGCTGCTGGCTTTCGGGGATCGGATCCCATTTCGACTGACACGAAACATCGAGTTATTAATTGACGTTTTCGGGAGGTCGGGGCTGCTCCCCGGGTGTATGTACACCCTGGTTTGCTGCCTCCAGAGCTACAGCAGCCACTTCTCCAACGCTGCTGCGCTGCTCATCCGCGACGACGTCGCCTTCTTCTACAGGCAGAAGCAGCAGCAGCAGCAGCAGCTGCTCCTCCAGCAGCAGCAGCAGCAGCAGCAGCAGCAGCAGCAGCAGCAGCAGCAGGGGCAGGGGCAAGGGCACCACGAGGGCGCGCAGCAGCCGCAGCCGCCCGCCGCAGGCTTCCAGTCCGCCAGCGCCGCCGCTGCTGCTGCTGCTGGAGCCAGCAGCAGCAGCAGCAGCAGCAGCAGCAGCAGCAGCAACGCGGAGGAAACCGCCACAGTGCGCCGTGTTGTCGATATCAACATCAGCCGCATCTCAGAGGCCCTCAAGAGGCTTCAGGGGACTCCTAAACCCCCCGCTGAACCAAAGGTCAGCCTACGCTTTAGGGCTTAGGGTTTAGGGTTTAGGGTTTAGGGTTTAGGGTTTAGGGTTTGGGGTTTAGGGCGTTGCTCGCATGTGTAAAAGCAGATTTGCCCGCTTCTTTTGCACAGAATTGATCAGTTTTTGCGGAAAACTTTGCCAATTTGTTATTTAAATTATTTATTTATTATTTATTTTTTATTTATTTATTATTTATTTATTATTTGTTATTATTTAATCATTTATTGGTCCAGTTAAGCAGCTTTTCCTGCTTTTCGCAACCCGCAGGCGGACCAACTCCCCATAGACTCCCAAGTCACAATGCTGCTCCGCATCGCCACCCGCAAGGACTTCCTCGCCACTGCCAAACCCACCTGGCAAGCCTGGTACTGACAGCTAGCTAGCTAGCTAGCTAGCTAGCTGGCTGGCTGGCTAGCTGGCTAGCTTTCCAGCTAGTTAGTTAGTTAGCTAGCTAGCTAGCTAACTAGTTAGCTAGCTAGCTGGCTAGCTTTCCAGCTAGTTAGCTAGCTAGCTAGCCAGTTAGCTAGCTAGCTGGCTAGCTCTCCAGCTAGTTAGCTCGCTAGCTAGCTAGCTGACTGGCTAAGTGCCCCAGCTAGCGAGCAGACTGGCGTTCAGCAGTGGAACCCTGGCTAGCGAGCTAGCTAGCTAGCTAGCTAGGAAGCCGGCCAGCCAGCTGGCTAGCTAGCTAGAGCAGCATACGGGTTGCCTCACTAGCTAGCTGGCAAGCGCGAGAGCTAGCGGGCAAGCTGCCTAGCTGCCTAGCAAGCTAGCTAGCTAGTTAGCTAGCTAGCTAGCTAGCATATGACTGGCCTGCTGGGGCAAGCGGCGCTGCAGCTAGCCATGGCTAGCTAGCCCGTGGCAAGCTAGGGCTCAGGCCCAGCTAGCCATGGAACTGGAGCCCCTTTGGCTTCATTCAAAACCAATTGTTTCATCTTTGGCATTTTTTTTTGGAGTGTACGTACACCTCAACACTACAACCGCATCATACAGACCTGCCTGATCTTGTGCATACTCGATTCACCGCTAGCTAGCTAGCTAGCTAGCCAGTTAGCTGACTAACTGCCGAGACAATTGGCTAGCTAGTTAACTAGCTACCTGAGTAACTGCGTAGCTAATTGGCTAGCCAGCTAGCTAGCTAACTAGTTGACTAGGTGCCTAGACAATCCTCTAGCCAGCTAGCTAGTTAGCTGACGAACTACTAGAGTAATTGGCTAGCTAGCTAGCTAGCTAGCTAGCCAATTACTAGCTGCATGAGCCACGGGGGCATCTACAGTGGCATTATAGTTGGGTTGCTTTGGAAACATATACAGCCTGCAGCTAGCTGGCGCCCTGCTGCCTCTCAGCTACCTAGTTAGCTAGCTAGCCAAACAGCTAGCTAGCCACTGGTGAGTAGCTAGCTAGCTAGCCAAACAGCTAGCTAGACACTTAGTAACAAGCCAGCTAGCCAGCCGCCTCAGCTTGCTGGTTCCAGAAGTCGGTCCTCCCGGATACCCCGGAAAACAGATGAGTGGCTTCCTTGCGACGCTGCTAGCCAGCTAGCTAGCTAGCAGGCTAGCTAGCTAGCTAAAAAAAACTAGCTAGCTAGCTAGCTAGCTAGCTAGCTAGCTCGCAGGGCGGCGCTTCATCAAGGCAGCTTTGCTTGGGTGCCTTACACCAGAGCTGCTCGCGTGCAGCACCGTCGCCCACGCCCAGCTAGCTAGCCAGCTAGCTAGCCAGCTAGCTAGCCAGCTAGCTAGCTAGCTAGTGAGCTAGCTCGCTAGCTAAGCTAGATTGCTGGTTAGCTAGACTAGCAAAGGACACAGCTAGCGAAGGCTCACGCTGGATGCATGAACCAGGAGCATCCTCTCAGCTAGCTACCGAGCTAGCTAGCCATCTGGCTAGCTAGCTAGAAAGCTGGATATCTAGCTAGCTGACCAGCCGCCGGGCTACATAGCTAGCTAGCTAGCCATGTAGCTGGGTAGCTAGCTAGCTAGCTAGCCAGCTAGCTAGCTAGCTAGCAAGAGCGCGCCGTCCTTAGCCCTCTACGCTTTTCCTGGCAATTGCCCTGACCCTCTTCTTGTACTCTTGAATGTTGTTCTTGTACATGTTCTGAACAGAAACTCCTCAACCCCAAACCCTAAACCCTAAACCCTAAACCCTAAACCCTAAACCCTAAATCCTCACGCCTCTGCGTCGCCGCTCGCCGTGCCCAGAAGCGCTAGCCTGCTGCCCCATCCCTCGCCCCCACCCCCTTCCCCGCAGCCCCAAGCCCTAAACCCCAAACCCCAAACCCTAAACCCTAAACCCTAAACCCTAAACCCTAAACCCTGAACCCTCACGGCAGCGTCGACGTTGGCGGGGGACTCGATGTTGGGTTCTCCAAGCATGGAAATGACAGAAACGAGAATTGCTTCAACTCCCA